GATTTTGCCCTCAGATAAGATCAAAATGGCCACGGAAGATAAAGGGTTAATTATGCAATAGGAATGTTGAGCCTTATTGTGAACTCTATCTTAGATACTGCTAATTTTATGGCTTTGAGTTATGTTTTATGCCAGAATGACTGTTGAGTGCACCACCAGTGGTACATGAGATCCTGTCTTTACCCATTTAAGCTTTAGCCTTCATGTGCCACCAGTGGTGCACACTATGATTTAAATAACAATGATCAAATGATCATAATTTTTTTTCAGAATAATTTTGCCATTTTTATAGAATAACTATGAATATTTCACAATTTTATGGTCATAAAAAGGGACATAAGATAATATGATCCCTACTGTGGATGATAATAGTTCAAGGATTGTGATAGGAAGACTACAATGTACTTGGAGTGTTTCAATGACAAACATAAATGAAAATTAGAACAAATTAAAATATTCATTGTCTACCCTTTTTTTTCCAATTTTCACAATAGGCTTTCTAAAAAAAAAACAATGTCTAATTAGATTTCTTGCTCCACTTACTCATCAGGGACATTTTATTCTTATTACATTACAGTTTTCATAACAGTTTTTTTACTTATGAAAAAAAGTCTCAATTAATTTGTTTGTTTTTGCTTCAATTATTCACAATGAAAAACTTAATGCTAGTCTGTAGATGTAATTTTAAAATAAAAAGTGATTTAATCATGTAAATTTGTTTTATTTCAGTTGTCCTTTCAACATTGCTTCTGTGCTCCACCAGTGGTACATGATGGAAGGCGTGGCTCTATTATAGCCATCCATACAAAATAAATGCTTTAATATAGAACTTTGGAGGTATGAAGTACAGATATATCTTATAGGTGCTGTGTACCACGGTTGGCTCATAATGTTCAACAGCAAACATGCAAATGCATCACTAGTGGTGCACAATGTTGTGAAAGTGTTAAAAATGGTGTTCACATGAAAGTTTTGTGAACATCTTTTCCAATTTGAATCCAATAATCCTTAGTTTTAGACTATAGCTTGAAATACCACAACTCTATAAATTTTGTCACAATAATATGAACTTTAAGGGAAAAAAAATTGTCATTTTAGGTAAAATCTTTATACCTTATGTATCCATTTAAAACTTTTACCACATACACAACTGTCAAGTATTGTTTTCCTTTTATATATATAAGAATCTGGTTCGTAAATACTGTGGTTTGATAAAATATTAAATACTTTTTCCCCTAAAGTAAATATATCTGTTGAGGAGTTTAAAAGATGCTTAATGCTAAGAAATTAGCTATATAATATTCTATATGGTTGAGCAATTCACACGTATCAACCATTATTATTTATATCATGTGAAAAATACCATGAGCCAGTTTTCCGATCAACAAACACTCAAATCCTGGTAGTATTTACTTACCAGTTCTTCTACTAACTCCTGGAATATTAAACCACTTTCTTGTGTTCTGTGTAGTGTTGCCCACAGCCAACCATCACCCATGTCATTCTGTATGGTGAAGATGTCTCCTTTCTGAAAGCTAAAATTTAGAAAATGCTTTAGCCAGCAAAGTACTAAAGAGATTTGTTAGAGAATGGATCTTTCTAAATTTCAGTTACCACTAGAAAAGTGTACCTCAGATTGGTCTTCCCTGAAAATATCCCTAAATATTATTTTTGTATCAAGTTCTAATCATGAGAAACAATAATATTTTTACAAAATGTCAGTCTTATGTTGTAAATGGAAAAAATGATCTAGTGTATTTATCAGCTTTATCAAATTTCTGTTAATCATAAGATAGATGTCATTTTATGTTTAAGTAAATTGATGTCTTTAATGAAAATGTTTTATCTTGGCTTAAAAAGTGTGTATAAAGTTTAGTGTTCACTTTCTTTTATAATTACTGAAGTTTATCTTCAATTTCTGTTTTCTTTGTTCTTAAATTTCTTTTATCAAGTGCTTATTCTGAATGCATTTTATGGTGAACATTTGGAATACTGAATTTTATACTTCAGTATAATAAAAAAAATTAGATAATAAAATGTTAAGCAATATACATTTCATTTATTGAAATATTATATTCAGGCTTTTTAATGATTATTAATAATGAATGGTTATATCAAAACATGATAATTATTTGTACTGCAGATTTAATTCCTGTCACCAAAATCCCCTAAAGATTTGCAGCATTGTAACATGTTTATAAAACAGAAATTTAGTAATGCTCATTTTGTAAGCCCCTCCAAACTATTATCTACAAACTTTGTAACTTCATTCTAACTGCCCTTGGAACTAAAACATGCATCAGTCATATACTTAAAGAAGAAAGCAATAGCAAGGTGAACCAACTGTTCACTTTGGAGGAGGATAAACCTTAATACATTACTTTGGGTAAACTTGTAATTCTTCCATACATAATCTCAACTAAAAACTAATTATTTGAGAATCTTAGCATGTAAAAAACTATTAAAAACTCTACTAGTTGTGAGGGGCTTACACAAAAAAAAACGTTTTGGGACAAAGTTAAGCTATATCATAAACACAATTTGTCATACATTGTAGTCCTGATATGAAAAATTTGATAGTGGAAATTAATAAGTTGTGAAGATACTGAAATTTGCCATTGTTTGTGGATATTAATATGCATTTCATATTTTACAGTTGACCTATGGGCTAAATGACCAAGTTACAGTCCTGAAGTTTTAAGCATAGCCATCCTTAATTAAGAACCAGTGACCAGAGGGAAGGCAAATAGTCACTAGCACACACAACATATGTGGTTACTGTGAGCTAAATAGTTAGATCAACTGTCACAGTTATAGTGCCTTCATAGCCAATAGAGTTAAGATTATCAATAAATCATCATGGCTCAAAGCTGAGCCTTCCAATCCAAAGCCCACCATGCTATTCACTGGGCCATCCCCAGCCTATGTTTATATTTGTACGAGTATTTGAACTTGTTAAAGGTGTATATCGAGGACATCAACTAGTTCACACCCCTAATTGAGGTCTAATTTTCAAATAAGGATACCTCCAGTTAGAAATTTTGCACAAATGGTGATTTGAGACCACTTCAGTGCCATCTATCAAAGTTTTGGTTAAATCTGAATCAGACCTTGATTGCAGATTGCTAAGAATGCGTGTTCATGTGTTTTTTATGATAATAAGGAAACACAGCTAAGAGGTTGATCATTGGTCATCCAGGGTAAATACTGGTCACATGATGGTCAAACATTATTTAGCAAGCAATACATAAAGTAAGGTAAAACTAACTGCTACATCTTCATTCTTATTCTCTAATGTAAAATGGTATGTACAAAATTAAACTTAGGCTACAGTTTTTATTTGAAGTACAAAACATTAAATCTCAGTGTTTCCATCTACTTGTGAATAAAGCCTTATTGTTAGCAACACTTACATTTGAAATTATGTTTTAAAAGATTTGCAAGTATTATTTTCCATCAAATTTAATGTAAGCAAAAGGCCTAGAAAGTGTTTAACAACATATTTTGTCACGCTTACCAAAAATTATTACTTCAATAACATAAGAGTCTAAATTAAACTAATTGTTATTCTTTACCCCAAGTTTAATTTTTAATTTATACTAACAAAAAAGCCATTTTCTAATGTATACAGAAAATGAAAATGCTACTAAACCATATGCAGAACTTGTAGAGGCTTGCAAATATGAATTGAAAAGACAAGTTGTTGTAAAGCCTTTTCCTAGCAGATCTGGGTCAGAAATATTGCTAAGAGAGTTCAAATATCAAATCCAAAAGATGTTACAATTAAGAAATAAAAACAGTATACTATTAAAATACTGTAGATATAAATCAGATATAGTCTAATGTTACTTAAGTTTTCTTTATCTGTAAAGTTTTAAAGTAGCAATTACTTGTATATTGTTACGCAGTGGAAGTTACGTGATGCTAGTAACACGTCATGAGATTCTAGAAGGATCATGTCTGTTCATGGCAACTCTAGTCTTTTTTACATGCCCTCTATTCTTGTATATAAGCATGCCAGACAATGGATCGGAACGAGAATAATAGCAGACAGAGAGATTGAAGATATAGACAGATAATAGAGTCAAGCCGTAAGTAAAGTGTGTAAATTATAGCGTGTGTTTAAGTTAAAGTGACTGTGGAAATTAAGTGTATTGCAAAGTTGTATTGAGAAAGAATAAACTAGTTTTATTTAAGAAAGGACTTGTATCACTGAAGTTCTTCGGGAAGAAATTTTACGGGAAATTAACAAATGAACAGAGACATAAATTGGTGTCAGAGAGTGGGATAAAAGAAAAAAGAAGAAGATGGAAACGAGAAGTGACAAATCAAACTACAGCTTAGCAGATTTGATGGCAGCAATACAAGAACAGCAAAAGAAACAAGAAGATCGAGAAGATAAACAAGAAAAGAGACAACAAATGCAGTGGCAAGAAAATTTGCAACAGTGGCATCTCGAACAGCAAAATAAACAAGAAAAGAGATTACAGCAGTTGTTGAAAGAAAAAGAATAGAAACAAGAAGAACGAGATAAAAAACAAGAAGAGAGACTACAGCAGATGTTGGAGGATAAAGAAAAGAAACAAGAAGAGAGATTACAGCAGTTGTTGGAGGAAAAAGAAAAGAAACAAGAAGAGAAGTTACAGCAATGGTTGGAGGAGAAAGAAAATAAACAAAAAGAGAGGTTACAGTAATGTTTGGAGGAGAAAGAAAATAAACAAGACGAGAGGTTACAGCAATGTTTGGAGGAGAAAGAAAATAAACAAGAAGAGAGACTACAGCAGTGGCAACTGGAACAAGAAAGGAAACAGGAAGAAAGTCTCCAACAGTTGCAGGAAAGTCAACAATAGTGGCAAGAAGTACAAATGGAAAACATTAGTAAATTTCAAATAGAATTAGTATACATTAAAGGAAGTTTTACTAGTCTTTT